TCAGCGTTTTTTTCAGCAGCCCCTGAACTCTCCTTTATGTGTTCCTATGTGTCCATGTACACATCGTCGTTTACAGGCAGTTGAGTTTACAGTCGTTTTTTTAACGCACCAAACTTGTGTTCAGGAGTAGATTTATCAGCGTTTCAAACACCAAACACTTGTAAATGTGTGTAAACGCGGCTAACCATGTTTAGAAACGTTTGCGTTTAGAAGCGTTTTTTTAACTGTTCCTTGTCCAGATGCTGTCCAGAGCCTTTTTTCATCATCAGAAATGCATGCAAAGCGTTTTCCATGTATTCATATGGACCCGGTACACCAGCGCAGTCAGTTCCAGGTATTCAAATGGACCCGGTACACCAGCGCAGTCAGTTCCAGGTATTCAAATGGACCCGGTACACCAGCGCAGTCAGTTCCAGGTTTCGCGTGAAGGAAACAATGGTAGAACGCACCGCATTTACGCTCATGATGGGATCCATAGTGACTACAACCAGAAGAGACAGGTCATCTCAACACATACTGCTCTCTCTGCTTCTGCTCTCTCTATTCCTCTCAAAATGTCTGAAATAGATAATTTTTTACTGTTTTTTAGTGCATTCTGGGCATTTGGGAAGGTATCCTGAGGTTATCTTTAAAAAAAAACGCTTCTAAACGCAAACGCAAATAAACGCGGTATGCAAACACGGCTAAACTGATGTTTTTTTCACCTACGTTTTCCAGCAGTCAGTTTCCATCTTTCAGAAGAGTTTTCCCAATGCCCCGTGTACATGGAGCCTAACTGTCAGTCTTGCAATGCCTCATGGGACTTGTAGTTTGGCAACAGCTGGAGGGACGCCAGTTTGACACCCGTCCATCGTTCAGAAGAGTTTTCCCAACGCCCCGTGTACATGGAGCCTAAAGTGGAACTTTCAGTAAATATTAAAAATCGGTTGCCAGGCAAGATTTTTAATGCAGGAAAAACATGCTTTGTCTCTTCTGCATTGAAGCTCCCTACCTGTCTATATGCTGATTCAAGCAGCAATGGCATGTTGTCATGTTGTAGATGACCACAGCCAGCATGTAACCAAGCCCCCTGATGGGCGGGGGGTGAAACTCATCAGAGGGCGTGGCTAGAGCAATGGCTGAGGCCATCTACAACTTGCCATCATTGCTTGACTCCGGGGATTGGTTTTGATTGGTGTCTGCTTTTTTATCTACTTCCTGCTATGTCTACAAGATAGGAAGTGAAGGGAAGTCTCCCCAACAATACACAGATGGCAAAAAAAAAAAACTGACGGCAACCCAAACCAGCACATGTTATGTCCTTTTATATTGTATTGTGTTGTCTGGTATTCCCTTCATTCATGGCCAGCATCCAAGCCCTGATGAAGGGGAAGTTTTGAACCCGGAACGTGTCGGCCCTTTCTTTTGACGTGTACTAAAGACTTTAAAAACTGGGGCACGCTTATCCTCAAAAAAATACTGACAGGAGTTTTAACCATTCCCTTCGCTATCGAAAAATGAAATACAGGTGTACCTCGGTTTACGAACGCCTTGGTTAACGTAATTTTCAGTTCACGAATGAGAATCCATTGAAAATAATGCTGCGGTTCACTCATTTTTTTCGCAATATGAACGGATTAATTGCTTTTCAATGCATTTACAAATTAATTTTTTAATCATGTCCCTGTACAGTATTTATGCCTTTAAAGTGCACTTTATAAAGAGTTTTGAACAGGTAAAACTTTTTTTGACTTTTTTCTGACCTCCGGAACGGATTAATTGGATTTCAATGCATTTATGAATTCATTTTTAATCATTTCCTTGTACAGTATTTATGCCTTTAAAGTGCACTTTATAAAGAGTTTTGAACAGATAAAAGACTTTTTTTAAACTTTTTTCTGACCTCCAGAACGGATTAATTGGTTTTCAATGCATTCCTATGGGAAACTGTGTTTCAGTTTACAAATTTTTCTTAATACGAAAAGTCCCGCAGAACAAATTAAATTGGTAAACCGAGGTACACCTGTAGAAACATTTTGGGCTTAGATATACTTCAGTAATGGGACTTCAGTCCCATTACTGGTGCCACTATCTATAACTGCTTCCCGACCACCCTATAGCAGAAATACTGCACAATATCATATATATATATATATTATATATATATATATATATGGGGGGGGGCAGGTCTGTATGTTAACAATGCAGATCTCTCCCCTGTCAGCACCAGCATGCTGCTTTGTATACAAAGCAGTGTGCTTACATAGTAAAGCACACACACAGAGCACACAGTTAACCCTTTGATCGCCCCAGATGTTAACCCCTTCCTGCCCAGTGTCATTAGTACAGTATCAGTGCTTTTTATTAGCGCTGATCACTATATTGGTGTCAATGGGGATGTCAGTGGCAGTTAGTTCCCCCCAGTGTCAGAATGTCCGCCGCAGTCCCGCTGTAAGTCGCTGATCACCGCCATTACTAATATAAAAAAATATATTTTTTAAATATATTCTTCAGATTTTTTTTAACATATGAAAAAAGTCATTTTAACATATATTTTTACATATATTTGTAAATGCATTCCAAAAATGTAGATTTATACTTTTAAAGACATACGATATATTTGAAATGTATTTTTAAAAATACTTTTCATATCTTTTGTAATAAAAAAGCATTTCAACATGCAGTATATATATTATATATATATATATATATATATATATATATAAATGTATGTATATATAAATTATGAAATATATTTTGAAGTATATTGAACACGGTCAAAATTGTAGCATTTCAAATATATGTCAATATATTTGGGAAGAATATTTTTAAAATATATTTTTCTTCCATGTGGGTATATATTGTACATTCACATCAGTCCCTAACCCTCAAGGGGCGTACAATCTAAGGTCCCTAACTCACATTCATACATACACATACTAGGGACAATTTAGACAGGATCCAAATAATTACCAGCATGTGTGGGAGGAAACTGGAGTACCTGGAGGAAACCCACACAGGCACAGGGAGAACATCCAAACTCCAGGCAGGTGGTGCTGTGGCTGGGATTCAAACCAGCGACCCTAGTACTGCCAGAGGGAAGTGCTAACCATTTAGCCACTGTGTTACCCGTACCTCCCTAACTGTGTTGTGTTAACGCATGAACACCAATTCGTTTGTCTGAGGATCCCAATGTTTTTATACCCAGCTATATCCACACAAGGCACTTTGAACACTGGGATCCTGGGCAGGACACTGTCTGCATGGAGTTTGCATGTTCTCTCTTTGCTTGCCTGAGGGTACTCCAGGTACTCCGGTTCTTCCCACACTCCAAAGACATGCTGGTAGCTTAATAGGCTGCTGCCTAAATGGGCCGTGGTAGGTGCATGTGAGACAGGGACCTTAGATTGTAAGCTCCTTGGGTGCAGGGACTGATGTGAATGTAAATTGTTGGTGAGATAAAAATCTGTAATAAATAAATCAAATAAAAAGAGATGGACAGTTTTAGGAGAAAGTGGGGCGAACTTTGGATGCAAAGAGAACCGGTCCTCCTCAAGCAGTGCAAGCTCTGGTTGGCAGGCGGCTATGCAGGGGTTAAAGGAGAGATGGCTTGTCCTGTTGACTCGCACAGTTGCTCCGATGGCGGTTACAGAGCAGCGCGGCGTCGGCGGCGTCGCAGCTGCTGGTCAGTTAGAAGCCGGCCCACATCTGGAATAAATCTGCGCTCCCATTTTTAAAGAGCTGTCAGAAGATTGCCGCTTTCTCCGTGACAAGTGAACGAGTGTGAGCGAGAACTTCACATCCCATCGATTATAACTTATTAAACACACAATTCAAACTTTCCCTTCCAGAAGGAAGCCCAGAATGCACCGCTCACCCAGACGCCAACCCTCAAACAACGCATGGAGGGAAAGGGAATGTACACATGTTCTGTCTTTACTGGACTAAAAAAAACAAAACTTAAAAATAAAAGTTCTTACAGTCAAATATAATAAATATTTAATAAAATATATACAGTAACTAGATTTGTGCCTTTATATCTACACAGCATATGCTTTCTCTTTTTTTTTTCTTTTTTTAAATAATCAAAGTGTTACTAAGCCCACAGCAGTACAATCAGTCTGTATATGCAGGAAAGCATGCTTGTTATACTCACTGTGGAACCTAAGGGGTTCATCCTCTGCATTGTGTAAAAAGGCTGTTTGATCCTGTCTTCTCTGATCCTCCCCTTCTTCTACTGCCCCCAATACATCTGCTGATAGTACATCGCTCTAGAAGTCACTCTGCACATGCTCAGTTTGGTGTGTAAAGCTAGAGAGTTTTTTTCTTCTTTGGAAGGGTGCATGTGTTCAGCACTTTCCAGACAGAGGGTCAGGGGTCCTGCGCCCTCATAGGACAGTCAGAGCAGAATGAAAACTCCTCCTACAAGCTTTAATCAGTGCTCAGCTGGACACTGATAGATGTCAAAAGACTGATATATGCTGCTGAGGAGAAAAGGTATTTAGTAGTTTATATTTACTGAAATAATTGCATTTCCATGTTCTGTGTACTGTGTGAGACCAGATATAGTGAATGCAGGGTCCGGGGAGACCGGATATAGTGAATGCAGGGTCCAGTAGAGCAGATATAATAAATGCCATGTCCGGGGAGACCAGATATAGTGAATGCAGGGTCCAGGGAGACCAGATATAGTGAATGCAGGGTCTGGGGAGACCAGATATAGTGAATGCAGAGTCCGGGGGGACTGGATATAGTGACTGCAGGGTCCGGGGAGACCAGATATAATGAATGCAGGGTCCGGGGAGACCGGATATAGCGAATGCAGGGTCCAGTAGAGCGAATATAATGAATGCCATGTCCGGGGAGACCAGATATAGTGAATGCAGGGTCCAGGGAGACCATATATAGTGAATGCAGGGTCCGGGGGGACTGGATATAGAGACTACAGGGTCCGGGGAGAGCGGATAGTGAATGCAGGGTCCGGGGAGACCGGATGTAGTGAATGCAGGGTCCAGGGAGACCAGATATAGTGAATGCAGGGTCCGGGGGAGACCAGATATAGTGAATGCAGGGTCCGGGGGGACCGGATATAGTGAATGCAGGGTCCGGGGAGACCGGATATAGTGAATGCAGGGTCCGGGGGGACTGGATATAGTGACTGCAGGGTCCGGGGAGACCAGATATAATGAATGCAGGGTCCGGGGAGACCAGATATAGCGAATGCAGGGTCCAGTAGAGCGAATATAATGAATGCCATGTCCGGGGAGACCAGATATAGTGAATGCAGGGTCCAGGGAGACCATATATAGTGAATGCAGGGTCCGGGGGGACTGGATATAGTGACTGCAGGGTCCGGGGAGAGCGGATAGTGAATGCAGGGTCCGGGGAGACCGGATGTAGTGAATGCAGGGTCCAGGGAGACCAGATATAGTGACTGCAGGGTCCGGGGAGAGCGGATAGTGACTGCAGGGTCAGGGGAGACCATATATAATGAATGCAGGGTCCGGGGAGAGCGGATAGTGAATGCAGGGTCCGGGGGGGAGACCAAATAAAGTGAATGCAGGGTGCGGGGAGAGCGGATATAGTGAATGCAGGGTCCGGGGAGGCCAGATGTAGTGAATGCAGGGTCCGGGGAGACCAGATATAGTGAATGCAGGGTCCAGGGAGAGCAGATATAGTGATGCAGGGTCTAGGGAGAGCGGATATAGTGAATGCAGGGTCCGGGGAGACCAGATATAGTGAATGCAGGGTCCGGGGAGAGCGGATATAGTGAATGCAGGGTCCGGGGAGACCATATATAGTGAATACAGGGTCTGGGGAGAGCGGATATAGTGAATGCAGGGTCTGGGGAGACCGGATATAGTGAATGCAGGGTCCGGGGAGACCAGATATAGTGAATGCAGGGTCCGGGGAGACCATATATAGTGAATACAGGGTCTGGGGAGAGCGGATATAGTGAATGCAGGGTCCGGGGAAAGTCGATATAGTGAATGCAGGGTCAGAGGAAAACGGATATAGTGAATGCAGGGTCCGGGAGAAGGATATAGTGAATGCAGGGTGCGGGAAGAGTGGATATAGTGAATGCAGGGTCCGGGGAGAGCAGATATAGTGAATGCAGGGTCCGGGGAGAGCAGATATAGTGAATGCAGGGTCTGGGAAGATAAGATATAGTGAATGTAGGATCCGGGGAGACCAGATATAGTGAATGCAGGGTCAGGGGGAGAACGGATATAGTGAATGTAGGGTCAGGGGACAGCGGATATAGTGAATGCAGTTTCCGGGGAGACCAGATATAGTGAATGCAGGGTCCAGGGAGAGTGGATATAGTGAATGCAGGGTCTGGGGAGAGCTGATATAGTGAATGCAGGGTCCAGGGAGAGCAGATATAGTGAATACAGGGTCTGGGGAGAGCAGATATAGTGAATGCAGGGTCAGAGGAAAACGGATATAGTGAATGCAGGGTCCGGGAGAAAGGATATAGTGAATGCAGGGTCCGGGAAGAGTGGATATAGTGAATGCAGGGTCTGGGAAGATAAGATATAGTGAATGTAGGATCCGGGGAGACCAGATATAGTGAATGCAGGGTCAGGGGAGAACGGATATAGTGAATGTAGGGTCAGGGGACAGCGGATATAGTGAATGCAGTTTTCCGGGGAGACCAGATATAGTGAATGCAGGGTCTGTGGAGAGTTGATGTAGTGAATGCAGTGTCTGGGGAGAGTGGATATAGTGAATGCAGGGTCCGGGGAGTCCGGATATAGTGAATGCAGGGTCCAGGGAGAGTGGATATAGTGAATGCAGGGTCCGGGGAGACCAGATATAGTGAATGCAGGGTCCGGGGAGACCATATATAGTGAATACAGGGTCTGGGGAGAGCGGATATAGTGAATGCAGGGTCCGGGGAGACCGGATATAGTGAATGCAGGGTCCGGGGAGACCAGATATAGTAAATGCAGGGGTCCGGGGGGAGACCATATATAGTGAATACAGGGTCTTGGGAGAGCAGATATAGTGAATGCAGGGTCCAGGGAGAGTGGATATAGTGAATGCAGGGTCCAGGGAGAGCAGATATAGTGAATACAGGGTCTGGGGAGAGCGGATATAGTGAATGCAGGGTCTGGGGAGAGTGGATATAGTGAATGCAGGGTCCAGGGAGAGCAGATATAGGGAATACAGGGTCTGGGGAGAGCAGATATAGTGAATGCAGGGTCAGAGGAAAACGGATATAGTGAATGCAGGGTCCGGGAGAAAGGATATAGTGAATGCAGGGTCCGGGAAGAGTGGATATAGTGAATGCAGGGTCCGGGGAGAGCAGATATAGTGAATGCAGGGTCTGGGAAGATAAGATATAGTGAATGTAGGATCCGGGGAGACCAGATATAGTGAATGCAGGGTCAGGGGAGAACGGATATAGTGAATGTAGGGTCAGGGGACAGCGGATATAGTGAATGCAGTGTCCGGGGAGACCAGATATAGTGAATGCAGGGTCTGTGGAGAGTTGATGTAGTGAATGCAGTGTCTGGGGAGAGTGGATATAGTGAATGCAGTGTCCGGGGAGAGCGGATATAGTGAATGCAGGGTCCGGGGAGAGCGGATATAGTGAATGCAGGGTCCGGGGAGACCGAATACAGTGAATGCATGCTCCAGGGGGACCAGATATAGTGAATGCAGGGTCTGTGGAGAGTTGATGTAGTGAATGCAGTGTCCAGGGAGAGTGGATATAGTGAATGCAGTGTCCGGGGAGACCAGACATAGTGAATGCCACGCCGGGGAGACCAGATATAGTGAATGCAGGGTCCGGGGAGATCGAATATAGTGAATGCAGGCTCCGGGGAGACCAGATATAGTGAATTCAGAGTCCGGGGAGACCGGATATAGTGAATGCAGGGTCCGGGGAGAGTGGATATAGTGAATGCAGTGTCCGGTGAGAGCGGATATAGTGAATGCAGGGTCTGTGGAGAGTTGATGTAGTGAATGCAGTGTCCAGGGAGAGTGGATATAGTGAATGCAGGGTCCGGGGAGAGCAGATATAGTGAATGCAGGGTCCGGGGAGAGCGTATATAGTGAATGCAGGGTCCGGGGAGAGCGTATATAGTGAATGCAGGGTCCGGGGGAGAGCGGATATAGTGAATGCGGGGTCCGGGGAGAGCGGATATAGTGAATGCAGGGTCCTGGGTTTAGTAACACTTTAAATAATATCATTCTCCATAATTAATCTATACACATTCAATACCTAATGGCCCTGTAATCATTCATTTCTCATGGTATTTTTTTTATACTGTGTTTTTCTGCCTCTTTGTAATGTTTTCGAGCAGTCGGGAAGTGTGCTTCTTCATTGCCACCAAGGGTTCCACTGGAGGCTACAAGTGGCCGTTTCAACACAAATTACGAAGGAATAGTCTACTGTCATCACCATCAGTAAACTCGCCCTGAGAAATGCCACGCAGCCATCTCTAAAATATGTGCACAAATTATGGAGTTTCCTGTGAAGGGTGCTGCTAATGTTACCTTATGCAACAACATTTTAGTCATTTGTGACTTCAGACCTTGTGGTAAGAGTTTTGATGAAGGCCCTTTTCTGTTCCAACATGACTGTGCCCCTTTGTACATGAAGACACCGCTTAACCAGTTTGGTGTGGAGTAACTCAAATGTTCAGCAGACAGCCCTGACCTCAACCATACAGAACACCTTTGGGATGAACTGGGATCTAGGTGTTCTCATCTAACATCAATAACTGACCTCAAAAATGTTCTTTTGACTGAATGGGGACAAATTCCCACAGACACACTCCAAACTCTTCTGAAAAGCCTTCCAAGAAGAGAGGAGACTGTTGTAGTCACAAAAGGGACTGTGCACAAAGGCAGCTCCACAAAGACATGGTTTGACCAGGCTGATGGGGAGGAACTCAAGTGTCCTGCACAGAGTCCTGACCTCCACCCTACTGATCACTTTTGGGATGAATTGGAACGCTAATTGTGATCCAGGTCTTCTCATCCAACATCAGTACCCTGAAGGTTGTTGTCACAAAGGGAACTGTGCACAAAGGCAACTCCATAAAGACACGGCTTGACCAAGCTGGTGGGGAGGAACTCAAGTGTCCTGCACAATGCCGCAACCTCAATCCTACTGAACACCTTTGGGATGAACTGGAATGTCATTTGTGATCCAGGTCTTCTCATCCAAAATCACTACCTAACCTCACAAATGTTCTTTTGGGTGAATGGGCACAGATTCCCACAGACAAAACTCCAAAATCTTGTGGAAAGCATTTTCAGAGGAGTGTAGGATGTTGGAACCACAAAGGAACCAACTCCATACTAAAGACTATGGCTTTGGAATGGGATGCCCAACAAGCTCATTTAGGTGTGATGGTCATTTAGGTGTGACGGTGTCTACAAATGTTTGGCCATATAGTGTATCTAGATATAGATTACACTATATTTAACACAACAGTTTAAAAGGTAAAAAAATAAATAAAAAATAAAATAAGATTGACCCAAAACCATTAATATAAAAAATATTCAACTAGGAAATATTTACTTCCAAAATGATGACTGTATATGATAAGCCCAGTGCATATTCACAAAATGGCTGTTTTATAGGGGCCCCTATATTCCAAGAGACAGATGTAATTCAAGAGATTTTATTCTATTCATTCTACCCAGTACTGCATAACTCGGCAGGTCAGAAACCAAGAAAATACAAAATGTTCCGCTGTCAAGAACTAATAGCTTTCCTTCCAATGTACCATGTGTTAGTTGTAACCACACAAATCTACAGGATATTACAGAAGATATACAGGGTGTAGAAAAGAATCACCGTCCTTTAATCACTTCAAGTCCAGACACTTTCACCCCCTTCCTGCCCCCCAGGCCAATTTTCAGCTTTCAGCGCTATCACACTTTGAATGACAATTGCGCGGTCATGCAACACTGTACCCATATGAATTTTTTATTCACAGATAAAACTTTATTTTGGTGGTATTTATTCACCACTGGGATTCTTATTTTTTTTGCTATATAAATGAAAAAGTCCAAAAAAATTTGATAAAAAGTGTTTTTTCTTATAACATTTTGCAAATAAATCTTTTTTCATAAATCTTGGCCAAAATTTATTCAGTTATCATTTTAGTAAAAAAAAAAAAACCAAATTAGTTTATAACCAAAAATTATAATTTTTAAACTTTTTTTACATTTTTTTTTTTTTCTTATATTATTATTTAGATTTTTTTTAACATACTGTCACCCTAGCAGTACAATGTCACCATAGTGACACTGTACTACTTGTGGGGGGTGATGAAGATTTTTTTTTTTTTTTTTTTACACTGATTGCTTTTACACCCATAAAGGATGTAAAAGCAATCATTTCTCCTTCTCTCGGGCTGCATTCTTGCAGCCATTGAGAAATACAGTGTGAGCTGTGACTGGTCACAGCTTGTCACATGGTACAAGGCTGTTGTGAATTGCCTTGTACCATGTGACCTCTGTGATCATTCAGATTTCACACGTAGTAAGCAATGATGTCAGAAGTGACATCTTGCTTACTACTCTTCATGTGATCACTGATTGGCCAATCAGTGATCACATGATCGGGACCTCACACAGCAACCACCAGACGGGAGGTGGTTAAATAATTGCATTTTGTTGCTTTGCAGCCTGAAATGAAGACAGACACATTTTTTGTTTTATCCATGCCAGAAAAAAATAAAAACAGAATCACTGAGTTGGAAAAAGGTTTACCCCCCTCCTAAAAATTACTTTTAAACTCAATCAGGTGTAGCTAATCTCCTTCTCAATGGCACACAATGCCATTTGACGTTCACCTGTGATCAGCTGTGGTCATTTTGATTAGCTCAGCATGCAAAGAGCTTTCCTGGAGCATTTTAGTTCCTGATAGTGCGACTGAAGCAAACAATCAGCTATGGGTGGCAAGGCACTGTCAAAAGATCTCGGGGATGAAGTTGTGGACAGGCACAAGTCAGGAGATGGATACAAAAAAAATTCAAAGGCTTTATCAATGCCTAGAAGCACAATGACTTCTGGTCAGAGAGGCTACTAAGTGGCCTACAGAAACTGAAGCAGTTGCAGGAATGTATGACAAAGAGTGGCCATTGTGTGCATGTGACAATAATATCACAAATGTGGTTTGTATGGGAGGGTTACAAAAAAAACAGAAAGGCCACATGCAGTCACAACTGAGCTTTGCCAAAACGCACCTTGAAGATTCTGAGGCCACCTGGAAAAAAGGTGTTCTGGTCAGACGAGACTAAAATGGAATGATTTGGCCTGAACACTAAACGATATGTCTGGCGGAAATCCAATCCAGCTCACCATCCAAATCCCACCATTCCTACAGTAAAGCATAGAGGGGGGAATATCCTGTTATGGGGGGTTCTCTGCAGCCGGGACTGGAGCACTTGTCAGGATAGAAGGAACAATGGATGGGACAAAATATCGTCACATTCTGGAGGAAGATCTGCTGCCCTCTGCCAGAAAGATGTCAATGAGAAGAAGGTTTACCTCCCAACAAGACAATGACTCAAAGCACACAGCAAAAATGAGCGCACAGTGGTTGGAGGAGAAAAGGGTGAATGTCCTTGCATGGCCTTGCAGAGCCCTGACCTAAACCCCACTGAAAATCACTGTTCAACAGGTAAAAAGTTTTGGGCATAAAATTAGCTAATCTTACATAATTTTGGGGTGCTGAAAACGAAAATGACCCTAAAAAATGTTGATTGGCTCTAGTTTCCATGATATATTCACCCATCTAATGACGTAAGCCATTCAAAATTATGATGCAACTTCAGCTGCATATTGCGCAATTGATACTGGTGACCAATAGAAAATTGCATGTATACTGAGATGATGCAATATTAGCCTTTAATTGCATCACTTCACTGCATAAAAGCTGCAGTATCTGTAGCTGATTGTAGTTGGACAGCGTCTTTACATTTCGTTTTATGCTTATATAGGCTACTCAGTAATGCCTCGAACTTGTGTGAATAAAGCAGATAATTTCTGCTATATCTGCGGTGAAATAACTTTTATCTCACAAAAAAGGAGGATAACAGGAATGATTAAGAAAGCCTACAACTTGTATTTTGGCTGCAAGATAGGAGACCAGGACAAGAGCTGGGCACCACATATATGCTGCAATTCTTGTGGGACGGCACTGGAGCAATGGTTGAATGGAAAAAAGGCATCTATGCCTTTCGCTGTGCCAATGATTTGGAGAGAGCCAACAGATCATGTTAGTAATTGTTACTTTTGTATGGTGCCTCCAATTGTAAAAGGGCTAAATAAGAAGAAAAAGTTATCTGTGCACTATCCAAATATTCCATCGGCAATACGTCCAGTTCCTCATGGAGAGGGGCTACCAATTCCTAAAGCACCAGAATCCTTCGTGGTTGAGTCAAGTGAGGAAGAACCTGAAGCGTGTAGTCACGTGCAGTTGTAAGAGATAGCCCTTTCCTCGAATACAAGAGAAAAGCCAAGAGAAGCAAAACCGACACAAACTGATGACAAAACTAGTGAGAATCCTAAGTATTAAAATGATTCAACTTAGCTTATGGCTATAATTTTTCTTGGTAATCCTATGCAATATATTATGCCATTTAGGCTTTGTTATGTAGTCAATATCACTTGCTTTATATTTGTGGAAAGACATCTATCTATATAATTATTGTGCATTATGTAGTCATTACGCCTATAGTAGAAAACTTTCCGTTTACAGAAAAACTAGAGCCAATTGACAAATTTCATTGTTATATTTGAACTCAGAATGTGAAATTCATTAAGAAATGGATCCTTTTGTTTCCAAAACTGGCAAAAAATAAAAATTTGTTGAACAGTGAAATCTGTGGAATGACTTGAAGACTGCAGTCCACGAAACAGTCACCATCAAATGTCACTGAACTGGAGCAGTTCTGCAAAGAAGAGCAAGCAAATATTGCAAAGTCTAGATGTGCAAATGTAGTCGAGACATAATAAGGCTGGAATTACAGCAAAAGATGGTTCAACAAAATACTGACATAAGGGGGGGATCCTTTTTCCAACTCTCAGTGAGTCTGTTTTTGAATTTTTTTAAAACAATTTCTGACATGTTGGTCTTCTATCCTTCACTTGGATGTTATAAGTGAATACAGCTGGATAAAACAAAAACTGTGTCATTTCAGGCTTCAAAGCAAAAAAAGAAGTCATTATTTTAGAGGGGGGTGATTTTTTTCAATACCCACTGTATGCTTGGAAGGAGGAGGGTTTACTGCATTGTGTGTAATGGTTAGCATACTTGCAAATTGTTGTCCAACCCATATGGAAGAAAAATATATTTGAAATCTATTTTAAAAATATTCTTCCCAAATATATTGCCATATATTTGAAATACAATTTTGGCCATATTCAATATACTTCAAAATATATTTCAATAAATAAATAAATAAATATATATAATAATAATAATAATAAAAAAAAAAATATATATATATATATATATATATATTTGTATATATATATATATATATATATATATATACACATAGCATGTTGAAATGTGTTTTTATTACAAAATATATATATGAAAAATATTTTTAAAAATACATTTCAAATATATTGTATTTCTTTAAACATACAAATCTACATTTTTGGAATGCATTTACAAATATATGTTAAAATGACTTTTTTATATGTTAAAATACATCTGAATATATATATAAAAAAAATATTTTAAAAATATATCTTTTCTTAAATATATTCTTCAGATTTTTGTTAACATTTAAAAAAATCATTTTAACATATACTTGTACATGTATTTTTAAATGCATTCTAAAAATGTAGATTTGCATTTTTAAAGGCGTACAGTATATTTGAAATTTATTTTTAAAAATATTTTTCATATATTTTGTAATAAAAATGCATTTCAACATGCAGTGTATGTGTATATATATATATATACACATTTTGGCAATATTCAATATACATATATATATATATATATATATATATATATATATATATATACATGCAGTGTATGTATATATATATATATATATATATATATATATATATGTATATATATACATACACTGCATGTATATATATATATATATTATATATATATATATATGTATATTGAATATTGCCAAAATTGTAGCATTTCAAATATATGGCAATATATTTAAGAAGAATATTTTCAAAATATATTTAAAATTTTAAAATATATTTTTTTTCTTCCATGTGGAAGTCAGGCTTTATTTCCCGCTACAGGCCCAGAGCATTATTTTCTCATCTGGACAGAACTTTATTTTGTCTTCAGAACAGGACATTATTTGTATCTTTTTGAACCAGATATTATTATATCTTCTAAACAGGACATTGAAAAAATATGACATATTTTTTGTTTTTTTTTCCAGTTAATGCGATTCTGACTTGCGTTTCTCCAATGGCGGGATGAAAAATCAAGGGATCCTATTTATGCCAAGCCGCACATTAATAGTGGAGGATGGCGTAACCACCTTCAGATATAGCGGGAAAGGCAGATAACTCGGAGCAGGTCTGGAAAAATCTGGCAGATAAAAGGGTCTCCTGCGGAAGATCATTTGAGGATCAAGCCTTGGATCCATACCAACGTGGAGAGACAAATAGCCGGGAAACAGAGGAAACCGCCATCCATATAGTAAGCCATAAAGCATTGCGATCAGTGCTAAGCCATGGGAGATACATTGACATCGTAGAGCTGCCAGAAATAAATGTGCGTCTCAATTAGAGGCTTCTCCTGGTCTAACTTACCGTATTTTTCACTCCATAAGACGCGCCTAGGTTTTAGAGGCAGAAAACAGGAAAAAAAAAATTCTGAACTAATGGACTGCAGACATAGTACAGGAGATGACCAGAGACTGCGGACAGTACAGGGATGACCAGAGACTGCGGACATAGTACAGGGATGACCAGAGACTGCGGACATAGTACAGGAGATGACCAGAGACTGCGGACACGGTACAGGAGATGACCAGAGACTGTGGACATAGTACAGGAGATGACCAGAGACTGCGGACATAATACAGGAGATGACTAGAGACTGCGGACACAGTACAGGAGATGACCAGAGACTGCAGACATACTACAGGAGATGACCAGAGACTGCGGACACAGTACAGGAGATGACCAGAGACTGCGGACACGGCACAGGGGATGACCAGAGACTGTGGACACAGTACAGGAGATGACCAGAGACTGCGGACACAGTACAGGAGATGACCAGAGACTGTGGACACAGTACAGGAGATGACCAGAGACTGCGGACAATACAGGAGATGACCAGAGACTGCGGACATAGTACAGGAGATGACCAGAGACTGCGGACAGTACAGGAGATGACCAGAGACTGCGGACACAGTACAGGAGATGACCAGAGACTGCGGACATACTACAGGAGATGACCAGAGACTGCGGACACGGTACAGGAGATGACCAGAGACTGCGGACATGGTACAGGAGATGACCAGAGACTGCGGACAGTACAAGAGATGACTGCTGACCTTTGGGGGGGGGGGGGAGCGGGTACCTGAATTTGACAGGTACCCGCTCTTACTTCCGCGGAGTTGTCCTTTGATCTTACCTGTTCCTCTATCCAGCGGCGCGCTGTCTTCCCGGCTTCTGTAGTGTCGGCGCTCGGCTTGACAGCCGGATGCCCAGTGCGCATGAGCGAGAAGCGCTGCGCTTTGTGATTGGTCCGGCGGCTTCTGGGATCTGTCATGTGTCCCAGGTACTGCCTTACCATTCACAAAGAGCACCGCTTCTTGCGCACTTGGGACCCGGCTGTCACGCACACTACAGAAGCCGGGAAGACAGCGTGCCGCTGGATAGAGGAACAGGTAAGGTCCCACTGCAGAGCTGAGCGGCCGGCCCGGTATTCTGACACGGCGGCAGTGGAAATACCGGACCGGCCGCTCCATATTCGCTCCATAAGACGCACTGACATTTCCCCCCCTTTTTTTGGGGGAAAAAAGTGCGTCTTATAGAGCAAAAAATACGATATCTAGTCTACTCTACACGCCTCTGTTTGATCCCCAACCACCAGAGTGGCCACATATCCGCTGAAAAGCACAGCACCAGTGAAATTTGGTCCAGCTCTTTTAAATGCAATGGGGTGGATTTACTAAAGGCAAATAGACTGTGCACTTTGCAGTTACCCCGGAGCTCAGTAAATGAGCAGAAGCTCTGCTGACTTCCAACATCCAATCATGCGCATGCAAAAATGCTGTTTTTTTTTCTTTTTCCATGCATGTGATTGGGTATTCTTTGCAAAGTGAAGGTCTACCTCATTTACTAAGCTCTGGAGCAACTGCCTTTGCAGAGTGCACAGTCTATTTGCCTTTAGTAAATCAACCCCATTGCATTTGATAATAGGCTTAGTTCACAAAGCTAACACACCGGGAAAAGGATACCAAATTTCTCCAAAGCAACAATTGTTTTCAAGAAAGTGACAGTTATTTTCATCAAAGTGACAGTTATTGCTTTTATCAAAGTGACAGTTAGGCCCCATGTACACGGGACACTACTGAACGATGGAAACTGACTGCTGGAAAACGTCGGTTAAAAAACGTCTGTTTAGCCACGTTTGCATAACGCGTTTATGCGCGTTTGCACTTAGAAGCGTTTTTTTTAAGAGAAGCACAGGAGAACCTCCAAAATGCCCAGAATGCACTGAAAAGTGGTAAATTATTAACTATTTCAGACTGTTTCAGAGAAATACAGAGAGTAGAAGCAGAGACAGCAGTATGTGTTGAAATTAGCTTAGGTGTGAGTTGTTCATTAACATTTCTTTCGTTTCCAAGGGTGGGAAAGGTGTCTGGTGGAGGGAGTCATTAAGGCCACCTGGCATGAGGAATTTTGTGAATGGTCATTAACATATCTTTTGTTTTCAAGGGTGGGAGAGGTCTGAGGTGTGAATTGGTCATTAACATATCTTTTGTTTTCAAGGGTGGGAGAGGTCTGAGGTGTGTATTGGTCATTGCAATGTGTGACAAGCATGGTAGGAACATCCTGTGTTCAGTGTTTTGTCCATTTGAGTACCTTGAAAAACTCAAAAAAGGACTTTGCATGCAGTTTTCATGAAGAGTAAAAAAATTTTCAAACGCTTATAAATGCGATTTGCTGTGTTTACAAGCATTTTGCGGTTATGAAACGCTGATAAAATCGTCTGCTGAACGCAAGTTTGGTGCGTTCAAAAAAAACGACTGTAAACTCAAATGCCTGTAAATGAAGATGTGTACACGGACACATAGAAGAACATTAGGGAGAGTTCAGGGGCTGCTGAAAAAAAATGCTGAACAGCTCCTAAACGTGAGTTTATCAGCTGCAGTGTACATGAGACCTTATTTTCAGTCCATTGATGTCATTTTGTTTGGTGATAGTTTTATGGATTTTCAGTGTGCTATTTTGTATTGTTCATTTTTTCTAATAAATTATTTTTTGTACTTTTACTGCACTTAGCCCAAAGTTGACCATCTGTAGGTACCCATCTGGACTTGGATTTGTTTTTTTTTTTGTAGAGTCAGAGTGTGGTGTTAAAGTGGTTCTAAAGCCTCAAGGTTTTTTACCTTAAAGCGGTTGTAAACCACAAGTAAAAAAATGAAAAAATCCCCTGCAAAGTAATGTCATATTATGCTGGTATACATCGTATAATAGCACATTATGAAGGACTTAGCTTAAAATGAAGCCCTCCAGTGGTGCGCTGTTACTACTGCAGAGGCTTCCATCTTCACCCGGTCTTCCTTCTGGGTTCGCGAGGTCTAGCTGTCTGACTGGCCGAGCCGCGATGATGTCACTCCCATGCACGTGTGCGGGAGTCCCGAACCGCGGCACAGTACTCTGAGGAAACAGCACGGGTATGCCGTTCCTTCAGAGAGCATGCGCAGGCTCTCAAAAAGAGCAAATATCTCCTAAACGTTGCACTGGGCAGATTGATAGCAGCGGTGGTGGGTGGAAAGAATGCCCTCCTTCAGAGACAACTAACATGATTATTGGTGCCAGTGGTCACTCACCTAACAAAAGAGAGGAGGAGCTCCATTAGTCCCATGCTGTTGGCTCTGCCAAGTGCCATTAGTGCCGGATTTATGTAGGCACCATTAGCTGAGAGTTTAATCCACCATTGTTCGAGTAACCCTAGCAACCTCTGGAGGAACCCTAAATTCCCATGGAACCTTGATTGAAAAATGTATAAATTGTGTTTTAGTGGAAAGTACCCCCTTACATTGGTGGTCATTGTAGGTGGGAGACACATCTGCCACTGCTCAAGTAACCATAGCAACCTCTGGAGGAACCCTAGATTTCCATGGAACCTTGGTTGAAAAATATATAAATTGTGTTTTAGTGGAAAGTACCCCCTTACATTGGTGGTCATGGTAGGTGGGAGGCAAATCTTCCACTACTCAATAACCCGAACAACCTCTGGAGGAACCCTAGATTTCCATGGAACCTTGGTTGAAAAATTAATAAATTATATTTTATTGGAAAGTACCCCCTTGCATTTGTGGTCATTGTAGATGGGAGGCAAATCTGCCACTACTCAAGTAACCCTAGCAACCTCTGGAGGAACCCTAGATTCCCATGGAACCTTGATTGAAAAATGTTTAAATTGTGTTTTAGTGGAAAGTACCCCCTTACATTGGTGGTCATGGTAGGTGGGAGGCAAATCTGCCACTGCTCAAGTAACCCAAACGACCTCTGGAGGCACCCTAGATTTCCATGAAACCTTGGTTGAAAAATGTATAAATTGTGTTTTAGTGGAAAGTACTCCCTTACATTGGTGGTCATTGTAGGTGGGAGACAAATCTGCCACTGCTCCAGTAACCCTAGCAACCTCTAGAGGAACCTTAGATTTCCATGGAACCTTGGTTGAAAAAATAATAAATTGTATTTTAGTGGAAAGTACCCCCTTACGTTAGTGGTCATTGTAGGTGGGAGACAAATCTGCTACTGCTCACCTAGCAACCTCTGGAGGAACCCTAGATTCCCATTGAACCTTGGTTGAAAAATGTATAAATTGTGTTTTAGTGGTCATTGTAGGTGGGAGACAAATCTGCCACTGCTCAAGTAACCCTAGCAACCTCTGGAGGAACCCTAGATTCCCATGGAACCTTGATTGAAAAATGTATAAATTGTGTTTTAGTGGAAAGTACCCCCTTACATTGGTGGTCATGGTAGGTGGGAGGCAAATCTGCCACTGTTCAAGTAACCCAAACAACCTCTGGAGGCATCCTAGATTTCCATGAAACCTTGGTAGAAAAATGTATAAATTGTGTTTTAGTGGAAAGTACTCCCTTACATTGGTGGTCATTGTAGGTGGGAGACAAATCTGCCACTGCTCCAGTAACCCTAGCAACCTCTGGAGGAACCTTAGATTTCCATGGAACCTTGGTTGAAAAAATAATAAATTGTATTTTAGTGGAAAGTACCCCCTTACGTTAGTGGTCATTGTAGGTGGGAGACAAATCTGCCACTGCTCAAGCAACCCTAGCAACCTCTGGAGGAACCCTGGTTGAGAAAGTCTAGTTTAAACTAATCTCATACCTGGAGTTCTCCTTTAAATGTGTCAACTTTGTAACCATGAACCTTTTAGCCAAACAGCAGTGAACACAAAGTGCCCCGGCCTTTCATTCTCATTTTCTAAGCGTTCTGTAACCTTCAATGAGTTGCAGATGACTAACTCGGACTCCATGCGGTTCGCTGGAAATAGCATCTATGTGAAAATGACTTTCCTCCACCACAGACAAAACCACATCCCACACCTTGTTAACGAGCTCTATAAAAGCGGCACATTTTAAATGCCCTCACTATAGGAAGTGTATGGGGAGAGGGGCATTAGCAAGCTTTGCTTTAGGCCCACGGCCGTTGTGGTTCTAATTACGCAAATATATTTGGTAACACCTTGTAATAGCCGTACATTATTCAAATCAGGGGCACTAAAGAGAACCTGTCTATATCCCCCCAAAAAATGGTTCCTAAGAGGAGGCAATACAAAGGGTCTTCTCTGCAGTCCCTGAGCCTAGACCTGAGCTGACATCATAGGGAGACAATAGGGGCAATTTCTCCCCTGAATGCCCCCCTCCCTCCCCCACAAATCATGCAGATGAGGGAGCTTGCTATGAATATTAACCACTTCCCGTCCACCCTAAAGCAGAAAAACTGCTACAGGGTGGCACGGGGGGTGTGCAAAATCACATATATATACAGTATACGTGATTTCACATTTCCGGAGGTAGGGGGCGCAGGCACGCCCTACTCGCGCCGCCATTCACGGCAGCAGCTGTCAATCACCGGGCCCCCCCGGTAATTGCTTGTCGACGCCCGGTGATTTCCGATGACCACCGACGGGGAGGAGGACTGTTTTGTTTACTAACAGTCCTCCTCCCTGTCAGCTCGGGCACACTGCTCTGGATAGCTGTGCACAGTACAGCCAT